ATCCTATAAAATAACTGTCTAGATAGTAAAGGAAATTATTTTTACTTTCATGTACTCATCTTTTCTATCATCTGCTGACAACCAATTCTAGCTCTATATAAAAAAAAACAAAATCAAAAACAAACAAACAAAAAAAAAAAAACACCTTAAGACCTCAGCTTCAGTTCTTGCTAGTAACATCAGAACCTGGGTTACCCTGTGATTTTAAATTTCGTTTACCCACAGTCAATCTCAATTTGACACTATTGTATGGGAAATTCCAGAACCAAATGTTTGTGTTTTGAACTATACAAAGTTCTGAGTTGTAAGATGATCTCTTGTGTGTAACTACACTCTGGCTGAGATGTGAGCCATTCTTTTGTCCTTTGTGTCTATATACACTACCCTCCTGTTAGTCACTCAGTAGCTTTCACAGCCACCTCTTGACTGTCAAGGTATTGTAGCACTTATATTCACACAATCATAATTTTCTTAATAATGGCCAAATATCAAGACTAGTAACATTAGCAATTTTACTATAACATACTGTCATAATTGTTGTATTTCATTATTACCCTTTACTAGTAATCTTTTACTGTGTCTTCTTGTCAAATTAAGCTTTCACATTGTTGTGAACATATAGAGAGACACAACTTATAGAACATTACATACCGCCCATGATTTCAAGTAATATTGGTCTTATATCATTTCCTTCCGTCAGATAAAAGGGGCACTATAGTTGTCATCTTCTGCTCTTCCAGCTCCCAGGAAATCTCTGTACTAAACTGTTAGGCAAAGTAACTGGCTGGAACCTTACCAGGAAGGGTCTTCAGGGGTGTGCTGAGCACACAGATGCCCTGTTAAAACCACCACATGGTATCTATTCCTTCCATTCTGTGAAATGCCTTTCTACCAAGTGTACATTCTCATGTTTGTACTGGTTTCCAACCATGTTTAAACCTCGGCCACTTGTCAGCCAAGAAGAAAACAGGCAAAGCTTTGCTTTAGAATTTTTAAATTATGTGAATATAAGTGCTACAGTACTTTGACAAGCAAGTTGGTGGCTGAGAAAGCTACTGAGTAACTAACAGGAGGGTAGTGTATATAATGTGGATACGAAAGACAAAAAAAAAAAAGAAAGAAAGAGGCCAATAGCAAGTTTTATCAACAGAGAGCTCTGTGCTTCATCACTCTGGGTGACATTCTAACCTGCATTCATGGGTGCTTCATTCCTGAAATGCCCAACTTGGGTATCCTGGCGGCTTTTAAACACTACTCTGTAAATCCCATAATGAAAATAATACAGATATTTTTCTCTATATCTTAAGCATCTTGTTACTGCTGAAGATTATTTTTCATCGTATGAAGGCTGTGGTTGGGAAAGTGAGAAGCAGCCCCTGAGGGGCTAGAGAGCTTGCTTCCCTAACCAGGAAGACATCATGTGGTGGGCCTGCCCTGGAGGCCCTGCTGTGGAGGGGCTGTCTCTGGTGAGATGTAGGAGCCACCTGCATTGTTAGGTAGCATGTATGGGGATCAGCCTGGTAAAATCAAAACTTTGCAGCTGCTTAACCATGAGGCCATTTAGTGTTTCATTTGGAAGGAGAAAGGATGATGGAGGAAACAAGCCGACAAACAATTGGGAGTAGGAAATGTTGGTCAACAATGTCAGGGAACAATTTTTGTGCACGTTAACTCAAACAAGAATTTCTGAATCCCACCTCAAATTTCCAAATACACAAAGTTGCAAACCTTTTATTTAGTTACAGTTTTCCTCATCCTTTACACCTATCTTTTATAATAAATTACTAACTTAATCTTGATGGGCATTCCTTCTTGCTGTTTCTAAAATGTGGTCAGCTCCTTTCATTCCAATTCAGCTCTTTCTTCATTGTTTCTTGGGGGACATGTTCAGAATCCTTTTCCTTTTCTTTTTATTTTTCCTAAGATGTGATCTTGGTGTCAGATTAAAGGGCCTAGAAACATCGGGAAGTGAGGAGTGGCATGGCGTAGGAGGAAATGGTTGTGTCTCTAGCCTACTGTTTGTCCCTCTAGAGAGACACCTGGTCATTCTTTCCTGTATTCTAAAGCTGCCTCATCCATGTTTCCTCTGGGCTCATTCCCTGACTGTGGTGAAAGTGGAGCCCAATACAAGAGTGGCCTCAGGCAGGAAGCACAGGAGCCAGTGCTGTGTAAGCCGGTCATGTCCTGCTTTCCTCTCAGAGGGTGGAAGATAGATGACACTTCCTCCTGAATGGAAAGACCTCAGCCTTGTGATGGAACCGAGCTACACTGTACAATTATGTGTAAATGGCTTCCACTTACACCTGTCACACACTGGTCTTTTTGTTAGAGAAAAGCTGGAAATGAATGGTCCATTAGTATGAACAAAAACATGTACTATGGAGTGTACTTTGTTTCTGCTTCACTAGAGTTTGTGGCAAGTGCCTGAGCCCAAATATCTCCCTATCTCTTTTCACTCCAACTTGTAATTGTGACTCCACCTTCCATCTTTAAGTGTTCATCAAGCATCTGTCATGTCCCTGATCCTATGCAGAGCATTAGCAATCTGCAGGTAAATAAGGTCAAATCATCCATCCCTCAAGCTTGTCTAACATCAATCTTCCCCGGAGATTTCTTCAGTGAAACTGCAAGTTATTAGTAGAGCTGTGACTTTTTACTGAAATTTATCGTAATGTAGTGAGACTTTAAACTTGTGAGAGAGACTATCACGGTTCTGTGGCAGTGTATCCTAATGGGCCACAGCAAAGAAAACACCAAGCTGTGCCAGGAGGAGTCTTCTTGGGTCCATAGTGTGAACCTGTCTTGAAATCTGAGTGCCACAAGAGGTTTCAGAGTTTACTGGGTCAAGTTACACTTTCTCCATAGGCTTTCTCCATGTTTGGGTTGTACTAGTTGGTTATGAATGCTCAGTTGTTGCCCTGGGAAGGTTCCAACTTAAAGTGGATGGGGGGGGAAAGGAGGATGCTCTGCCCATCATTCCTACCCTCTGGAGCCAGAATCCACTCCTTCTGAACCGAATTCTCAAGCCTCCTGGGAGTCCTGGGGAGCAGCAGAGATGAAATACATACCATACCTAAGACCTCATGTCTTTATCATTGCTGTTCCTTCTGCTTCACACACTTGTCCCTTACTCTTAAAACAGAATGGCTGCCTCCTTCCCATGAAGCCCCAAATGCTGTGGGTTTTAGAAGCCTTGTCTGCCAGCTCTAGTTGGGGTGGCTCTTCTGCTGCCTGAATTCTGTTGCTGTAATCTCTTGGTCTCCAGAGCACTTGTCAGAAGCTGAAATTGTATCTCCTCCCCCTCCGCTATGCCTTTCTTCCGTTCCTCTTCTCCTCTTTCCCTCCCTCTTCCCTCCCTTCCTCCCTCCTTCTCTCTCACTCTCCTCTCCTCCCTTCACCCCTCCCTTTTTTTTGCACCAGACTACAAGTTCCATATATTTGCTATTTTATCCTTTAAGCCCAGCAGACAACTGCTACACAGCGGGGTCTCAAAAACATTTGCCACTTTTTTTGTTTTTTCATATTGATACATTGGGGGGGGGGTCAAGATCTGTATTCATAAACTTGTAGAGTCGATGCTATAATTCAGTTGAATAATATAAACAAAGGAGAGCCATATTTTCCCTTAAGAGGTTCATAGCCAATGAAGGAAGAGATTACAGAAAGCTGATACATGGAGGGATTAAGCACGCACACATAATTTCTACCGTATCTCTACCATTATTTAGAATGTGACAATGACAAGAGGGCTGGCAGGCTTCTTAGTCAGCAACATATGGTTGCTGTGATGATGGCCAATGAGCTGATAAAGGAATGAATTCTGGGGCTGGAGAGATGGGTCACTGGCAAAGTGCTTAGATCCCCAACACCTACAGAGAAAAACAGTCCAGGCCTCGTGGTGCAGTTATAATCACAACATTGGGAGACAGAGACAGGAAGATCATGGGGACTTGCTGGCTTGTCATTCCAGCAGCATGGGTGAGCTCCAGGTCCCAGAGAGAGGCCCTGCTTTAGAAAATAAGCATTAGTGATGGTTAAAAGCAGGCATTTAGACCAGCACCCCATAGGTTCATGGGACACTGCAAAATACAGGGCAGAAAGAACATAAGAGTTGGAAGATAGGGTGAAGGGCTGCAAAACGTGGCCATCTGGGTACAATATGGTACAGCCATTGCGGTCAGGAACACTCAATAGCAGTGGATGACTACACTGGGTCTGCTCAGGAGTGGTCCTAGCAACAACCAGGCATGAAGCTGGGGCACAGAAGGCTCTACTTCATGCTGGTAAACTAATTTTTACTGACATATTCAGAGAATGCAGGAGTCCTTACCTTCCGTTGCGTACCTACTGGTGACCCCACCAGGCACCAGTGGAGAGTCTGAATTCTACCATCACACAGATGACCCTGATTAAACTAAATGAATCTTGGAAGGGATGGCTAGAAAAGAGGAGGAGGTTGATGGGGTAGAAAGGACATAAGAAAGGGTGAAGGGAAGAGTAACCAGAATGCATTATATACATGTATAAAATTGTCAAAACAGTATAACTTAATAAAAAAAAGACACTCCCCCAAGACCTAAAGTAGAAAGTGATTGAGAAAACGCCTGCCATCAACCTCTGGCATCCACATGAACACATAGAAGCAAACATGCATACATGTACACATGAACACACACACACACACACACACACACACACACACACACACTTGCTATTCTGAACACTAAAACAGAATCCATGGAAGAGGTTTGAACTTAATCCAGTGTGTCTCAGAGGGCCGCTGGAGCATAGTGAACAGTGCAGATAATTTGCACCTGATTCCTCCCTCTCTGGTGCTGTCCTGAGAGAGTCCAGTTTTCCGGAAGTGAGGGACCTTGAAGGACACCATTATTGTCAGACAGCAGCAAAAGCAGAAATCAGTCACTGTGGTGATATATTATTTATGATTTATTAAAGCTTGCTTCAAAATTCAGAAAGCAAAGTCAGCTAAAAGCCGTAGAAGCAAGGCACACACCTTTAATCCCAGCAGCCAGAAGCTAGGAGGTGGTGGTACAAACCTTTAATCCCAGGACTCAGGATTAAGAGAGATAGACGATCTCTTTGAGTCCAAGGTCACTCAGATCCATACAAGAATGATCCAGTCCTAAAGAGAAACAGCTCACACAAAGATGATGTCAGCACCTGTGATCAAATGCCTTTAATTCCAGCATTAGGAAGGCATATAAAACAGAAGCAAGGTCTCAACATGAGGTATTCATTCTCCAGCCACACTGAAGATTGGAAGGCTCAGTATCAAGCAGGATAGGAAGGAGTCTCCAGCCACGCTGAGGAGAGGCAGCCATTTGGGGCTTGGTGAAGAGCTCATGTGTGGATCAGCCCTTTCAGCCTGAGCTTGAGGCAAGAGCTGGTGGTAGCTGCTTTGCTTTGCTGATCACCCACTTGAAGTTTGAACCCCAATATCAGTCTCTGGGTCTTTTATTTTTCATGCAACAAATCACTGTGTTTGGAAGGGTGTTTGTTGGCAATGAGGAAAGAATACTATTTTGTCATAAGATTCTTTAGACAATCATCCATTCCTTCAGTGAAAAACAGGAGCATCGGTGTGTTCTATGGCTCAGAGACACTAACCACAAGGAGCAGCCTCAGCAGAGAAAGATCTTTCCAGACTCCTTGTCCATTTTGTAGCCTGAAGACAAAAATAACAGTTTTCTACCCAACACCATTATTTCATCTTGGTATATTTATTTATTAAATTATAAACAGTGCTTACAACAGAGCATTCCACTCTTAGGTCCAGTAGTATTTTAACACATGACTTGAAATTAGCCAGTATTTCTGTATTTCTGGTCTTCAAATGCAATCTCTGTATTAGAGAAAATAGAAGTTAAGAAGCAGCAATAATTTTGGCTTTTGAAATTGCCTTTGTAAGTGTATTGTACTCAAACACATAGCTTGAAAATGCCATTTATATACCACTGTTTTCACCCTGCTTTTAGCATAATTATGTATCCCCATGGAAAAGTTTTAATCCCCCACCCTAGTGGTGGAGTTCTACAGGGGAATGGTATATACATGCATTTATTTATCTCTAGCAGTGAATGGTCTTTAGAAATTCCCGGGAGACCCAGCTTATGTCCTGTAGGTTCAGTCTGTTTTGTGAAGTTCAACCTTCCCTGAGTGGCTTTGCAATCACCCTGCTGAAATTCCAATCCTTTAAGTAATTTGGAAAGAAGGGAAAGGGGATGGAAGGGCCAGGGGGAGGGAGTAAGGAAGGTGGAAGCAAGGGAAAGGGAGACAAAAATCGCTCCACACATTTTTTTTTTACAGAAACCAATCACTGAATGTTATTAAATTAAGTTACACTGATTTATATCTTCTGTCAATACCTTCCAAACACTAAAATGAAGTTGCATCTTCACATGCATTGGTCAGGACCTAACCCATCATTGCTCTCTGAGCACACCCTGCTCTTCATCCTTCAAGGACCTGAAGAAAGGCAAGGTGTCCCCTGAGCCAGCTAGTACACTGTTGAATTTCTAGTCCCCAATAAGCTAGTCAGTTCTGTAACGGCCTCTGTCATTGGTCCTATAACATCCTGTCATTTATAAGAGAGCAAATACTGAAGCTTAAATGCTTTGTGTCACTGGTGCTGGCCACATAATTTGACCCTTGGTACACTTTTTAAAAGTTAATTACTATCATTAATATTATTATTACTGTGTGTACATGACGTGGGAGGCATGTAGGTCGTGAAACATGTACAGAGGTCAGAGGACAACCTTGTGGAACTGGTTTTCTCAGAACTTCTACCTTTATGTGAGTTTGGAGGCTCAATCTCAGGTCACAAGGCTTGCACAATGGCATGCAGGCCAGCCCCTTTACTTGCTGAACCACCTTGCTGGCCCTTCATATACATCTTATGAATGACTAAAAGTTAGTCACTTACTATTTATAACAAGCCTGCCATGTGAGAACTATAACTGTCATCTTGATTTTGCAAAAACTGAGATTAAAAAAAAGACAAAATAACAAAAAAGAGAGGTTGGGTATTTAGCTCAGTGGGAGAGCCCTTGCCTAGCAAGCACAGGACCCCGGGTTCAGTCCTTAACTCCAAGAAAAAGACAAAATAACAAAAGCTGAGATAAATAGACTTCAATTGTTTGCCAGATTTCACACATTTGTTAACTGGCAGACAAAATCTGATACCAATTAACTTGAATTGCATTTTAATTTTGGTCAGATGTATTAAATATTCCACTGTAATATAATCAAAATAAAAATGTCTGAGATAATTCTCAGCCTTTTCTTCATACTAAGTATTTAAAATATGGGCGTATTTTTACACTTAGGGAGCAGCGCCTATCAAATGCTCTCATTTCAGCCAGTGAAGCTGCTGCTTTTGGTGGGGCTCTGTAATGACATCACAACATGACCAGCACAACTTAACACGTCAGGATGTGGCTTCCAGTGTCTATCCCTCCACCCTTCGATTACAAACACTCGGGTGTCTTATTGTCTTCCTTAAAGCCTCTATTTTTAGTGATGTTCTATCTATTATTTGAAATTTTTATGCATTTATACAATGTATCTTGATTACATCCACTGACCACTTTCCTCCCTCTCCAACTCCCCATATGCCATCAAAATATATCTATATCTCCCTCCTGACTTTGTTTTACATTTATATGTGTGTGTGTGTTATTCTGCACATTATACATGCATACATACATACATACATACATACATACATACATATATGTATATATCTGAGTACAATCAGTGCTAACTATATGTACATGATGTGGAGCCATCCACTGGGGAGTGGGCAACCTCCAGTGGCCATTCAATGCCCCCCCATGTTACTCTCTCTCCACCAACAATTCTCAGCTGCCTATAGTGCCCCAGCTGGAGGTGGGGCGTCAGGGGCTCCTGATCATGGGTTTCCCGTTTTCTTTTTCATACACCCTTCACTTTAGTTGACAGTCCTCTGTCCCCTAGTTTCCCCATCTCCTATCCCATGCCTATAATGCACCAGTCCTCCAAAAGGGCCCACATCTTTTTGTTCCCTTCCACACGTGCTCCAAGTTAAACACACAGAACAAAAGGTACGGGCTAGGACCCATGTCTGGAACAGAGCATACAGTGCTTGTTTCTCCGGGTCTGGGTGACCATGTTCAGATAATAATCTGCAGCTCCATCCAATTACCTGCAGATTTCATTATCATTTTTAGTTGAGCAATACCCCATTGTACTACATTTTTACCATCCATCTCTCAGTTGGGAGATATCAGGATTTACTGGCAGCCTTTCTCTGTAATCCAAAATCTTATCTTTGTACTTTACATTTGTGTATACAAAACCAAGCCCCCAAATGTGCTTTTCAGAGGCAGAACACACAGGCAACAGAAAAAGAGCTTGCATTTGAGCCTTGGATCCTGTCACTTCTGGTCAAGTCTTGTGATTAAGGACAAGCCACTGATATGTTTAACCCTCATTCCTCGTTGTGAAGGCTGAATGACAACTGCCCAACTCACACGACAACTTACAAAGCAGGGGGCTTGGAAATCATAAAGAGCATGAGGTTGCTTACTGTGAGGCCCCGGGGTTTCCAGTCAGGGTAGACTCCAGCCACAAGTTCTAGCAGATCCTACTAATTGTAGTGAAAGTCCCCCCATTGCCTCATTCAGGAGGCTCTCCAGTGGGAACCAGTGATTGACAGTAGATGGTACCCCAGCCACTCATGGATTCCCATTAAACCATCTTTTCTTCTCATATATTCATACTTACAGTAAACATTGATGGATAAATTAAGCCTAGAGATTTAGACCAATTACTAGCCAAAAATATGACAATTTTTATAATATAACAAAATATAACACAGCACAATAAAAGTTGTGAGTATGGCTTCTCTTGCAAAGAGCCTCCCACAAATGTTTGCATTACTGTTAGTGTTTTCACACTAGAGTTGACTGTGGGTGTTTGAAAGTGAAGACAGTGAGATCTCAGATGAGGAGAAACTACTGTGTGGTGCTGTTTTGTTTTGTTTTGTTTTGTTTTACCAAGCTCTTCACAGTGATGTCACAAAGTTTGCTGCTCTTATGAGAGTCTTGATGAAGTCCATAGCCTCCTGGTACCTATTATTAGTTCTAGGAGTCACACCAAAGTCAATGCGTCACTTAGTAACCACATCTCAAACCAGCCGACTCTGGGTTGGGTTATAACTCACCTTGGAGACTCACCTTGCAGTTGGAGGAGCAAGCCACAGCAGTCTCAAAAATTCACCCAAGGAGCTTGTCAGGCCATGTCTGTTTTAAGTAACACTGCAAGATTTCTCAAAGGTACGACTGAGCTTAACAATTAGACAAGGTGAATATGAGCTTCTTAGCCAAAAATGCATCTGTATCATATTGCTTATGGATATTTTTCATTTTTGAGGAAAAACTCCACAGCTGCTGCCCATCACCGGCAAATGAAATCCAGAACCTTTGGCCAGCTGAGCTAGGGATGTAGCTCAATGATAGAGCCCCTGCTGAGAATGCACAAGACTCTGAGTTCAGTGCCTATTGCAGCAAAACAAACACACAGAAACTATCTGTTAAAGATGCTGAGGAGTCTGCCCACTACTTGCTATCCTCACACTGTCACTCAAACAAGACTTGAGAGATACTAGGCTTCCCATTGTTAAAACCACTTCACTTTCAGAGCCATTCAGTGGTGGCACACTGTAACAGCCAGGGCTGTTACCCAGAGAAACCCTGTCTCAAAAAAAAAACCAAAAAACAAACAAACAAAAAAAACCATCCATCCACCAATTAACCAACCAAACAAACACACAAAAACACTTCACTTTCAACATCAGTTTTCCACAAGTCCAAAGCAGAAGAGATGAAGTGAATGCCACATACAGATGCCTTACACAGATCCTCGTGTGCACAAGTGTTTACCGTATCGATTCTTTTTTTATTTTTTTCTGGTTTTCATCTCACGGTCTGGAAAAAGCACTATCCTTGAGAGCAGCCCAAATTCTATCCAGAAGCCCTTTGACAATTCAGATGAGCAACCATCTAGACAGACAGGAGCAGCCATAGCTGGTGAACTAGGGAGCATGGATATCAGCACTGGGAGCCGGGTGCTGGAGTCTGGTTTGGGTGAAACATTTTTACAAAGCAGCTTTGTTGAAGTATAATTCACATACCATGCGATCCATCCATTTACACTGCAAGCCAATGCTTTTACTGGACCCATAGAAACATACAAGCATCGCCATAGTCAACTTTAGAAGGTTTCCATACTACAAAAAGAAACCTCCTCGAGTTAGCATCAACCTCCATACCCACTCCCTGAGTCTCTTTGGTTTTCCCTGTTCTGAACAGTTTGTAAGAATGGTATTGCTCTGTGCATGTGGTGTCTGGATTTTCCTTTCTAAATAATGGTTTGTTTACTATAGTGAGTTTGTTTTTCAGCCTATGGGTGCTTGGATTGTTCCCTCTTTTGGCTATTTTAAATAATGCCCACTTGTTTGTGGGTTATTTTTAAAAATCTCTTGTGTGCATGCACTTAATCTTCCAGGTCTGTGTTCAACTTTTTAATGAAGAACCAGTCCACTTTCCAAAGTGACTAGGCCATTTGAAAACCTCACAGATGGTGTGTGTGGGCTCTATGTGTTTCTCTACGTTTCCATCAGTAAAAATACTATGTTTTCATTGATACCATTTCAGTGTAAATGGAAGAGCAAGTTTTTATGTACATTTTTTGATGACTAATGACATAAACCTTTTTTCCCACATGTCTTGAGCCACTATAAATCTTCCTAAAATGTCTGCCCAGATTCTTTTTCAGGACAGCCAGGGTTATGTAGAGAGACCCTGACTCAAAAATGAATAAATAAATAGAAATAAAGGAATGTTAAGTTGGCTATCTTTTTAAAATATTGAGTAGCATAGCAGTGTTAAATAGTAGGCAAGACATAGGAATTGTGGGGGGGACATGCAAAGTACAATGATATACGTGTATGAATATGTTAAAATGAAATCCATTCTCTCATACACTATGTGTAAGACATACATTTTAAAACCCAATTTCACCTCTTGAAAAAACTGATAACCTGGCTAAAACAGTCATCCTGCTTCCCTCAGATGTCTTCATGCTCGTAGGCTGTATTCTCTTTCTCAACTATGTATGCCATGTGCACTTTGTTGCATGCTCTCTATTGCCTCCAAACACCCCCTCATCCTTAACCCTGACTGAATGTAATCTGTTATGTCTGATCCTTGAGGCTTTCTCATCCATCAATGAGGGCAGATTAAGGAAGTCCACTAACACCCAGATAAAGGAATAACAAATATTTATTTGGGGAACACCCACACAATGGAGGTAAAGAGACACTGAGGTCTTCTGCTCCTGGAGGCACAGGATGCTGTGATGCCGGTCTCAGATCAGAGAGAGAGAGAGAGAGAGAGAGAGAGAGAGAGAGAGAGAGAGAAAGAGAGAGATTGCTCCCAGTCCACACATAGCACCTGAGATCCCGGCTGGAAGAAGCTGGTACCTCAAAGACTTGGCTGAGTGAGTTCCCACAACACATCAGCATATCATACAATCTTTTGAACAGTTTGTTTTTCTCAAGAGATCATTCCTCTGCTTTTTTATTTTTCTTCATTCTACTCTTTTTCTCCTGTCACAATGTCTATCACATGGTTAATACCATGGCTAAAGCTGGACAGTGGTGGTGCACACCTTTCATCTCAGCACTTGGGAAGCAGAGGCAGGTGGATCTGTTATGATAAATCTTTCTGCCAAATGCCGCCTGAGCCACACCGCCATGTGTACGCTTTACGCCAGTTGCCTGCCCGAGTTAGGCCCAAATGAATACACAGAAACTTGTATTAGGTTCAAAGCTGCTAGGTCAATGACTAGCACTTCCCATCTGCTAACTCAGTCTTAACTATCATAAACCTATATATTTTATAAGACTTACCTTATCGGCGTCCCTCCCTGCTGGGATCACATCTTGCCGCTGGAGCAGGAGCGGAGGGGAAAAAAGGGGCCCTTCCTGTTTCTCCTTCGTTTAAATATGAGTCTCCTTGCTATGTCACTTCCTGCCTGGATCAGCACTTCTCTACTACATTTCCCAGAATCCTCTTTGACTCCTAGTTCCATCTACTTGCTGTCTCTTTGGCCAAACAGTATTTTATTTAACAATCAATAAGATAAACGTACACAGTACATTCCCCATCATGGATCTCTGAGTTTGAGGCCAGCCTGGTCTATAGAACAAGTTCCAGGACATTCAGAGCTACACAGAGAAACCCTGCATCCAAAAAAATAAAAACATTAAAAAACTTACGGATATGAATCTGTGGCACTGAATTAGTGGCAATGCTCTTGACTCAGACTGGTGGAGGTTCTAAGCAGTAACAAAGATCCAAAAGAAATCAGGCATTCACTAAATAAGAAATTTAACCTGTGCCTGAAATATATTCAAACTGATGATAGAAAATAGTGCAATGAGAGCACAAAGCCCATTTCTAACAACAGTGAAGGGCAATATTTTGTGTTTTCTGGAATAAGAAAGAAAATTCTAACAACCAGGGTAACAGAAGCCCCTGATCATTCTCTGTACTATCCGTTGCCTTTCTTTTGCAGAACAAGGCTTTATCACCAATGCCCAGCACACACTGTTAGAGTTTTCTAAACTGAATTAACACTGTAGATGTCTATTTAGAGAAGGTATTTCTAATAAAATAAACAAAGAGAGTAAATGTTGCCATTGTCTGATAGCTTGAAGAATTAAAATATTTCAAGTCATAAATGCTGCCGCTAAATAGATGGAGACACAGACACAGATTTGTGGGAGCAACGCATTGAAGAGCTTCTTCTGTGAAACCTCCATTAAGGGTAAAGGTTCTCAAGGGAATTTCAGTAAGACTAGCTGGGCCTGGAAAGGTGTGCTTCACAAGAAATGTTAAATTCTTCCAAGTTATTAAAAAAAAATGAGCCACATTCTTCCCTTGGTTGATACCCAAGTGTCCTGAGCTTTGGGGTCAGTTGAGCTGGTGGATGCCACCTTCTCGGTCTGAAGCTGGGTTGAGATTTGTATCAGAGAATGGATGTTGTTTGTGTGGGTTCAGGGTAGGGTGACCTTAGGACAGTTTGTAACTCCATTACACCCTACTATTTATGAGAGTTTAAAATGTGAGGTTGAAATAGTCCAGCACTTAGTGAAGTGCGGTAGCCATCTTTCACAGGGTCCCCTTTCTACGGGAAGGGTCTCCAGCACAGAGCTGCAGGGGTTAGGCATTTCCTATGAGACCTGTAGGTGGATCTGGAAATGACAAGAACTTCTGTTACTGTGACTTTGGTGGAAGAAGACAGAGCCTGGCAGCTTTGGGGTGGAGACAGTCTGGTGGCTTTGGGCTGGAGACAGAGCCTGGTGGCTTTGGGTGGCATTGCACTTGGCTTTCTAGCTGTGATCCTATTGGGATGCTCTGATCAGGCTCAGTGCCCCTTTTGCTTTTTGGAGGAAAGGTTGCCCGGTACCTGCCCTTCTCTGCTCCCTGATCCTGCCTCCATTCATTACACCATTAACAACTTCCATGACTACAGTAAAAAGGAGATAGTAGACTGCCCTAAAAGAGTCTCAATAAATCACCGTACAATGAATGACCCAGCACAGCCATGTGTTGGAAGCATAATCCCACCATGCAAACACTAGTAATGATTTTTTTTCCCTAAATTTACATTAAGTACTGAGCAAAAGACAGAGATAGATTAGCCATCCCCTCTGTGGATAAGCTCAGTACTAGTGTCACTTTAGAGGAGTCCATAACTCAGAGCTGGGCATGGCCTTCACGGTGGAGACCAGTGCAAGAAAAGGAGGGAAATCAATGGTCCATACAGCAGGGGGAGTTGAACTGTAAAAGCACTTGCTGTGGCTCCAGAGATTTTTGTATTTAATGTGACAGGATGACATCCCAGCAAAGCTTCCTCACTTGGGAAGGTATCTGCAACTGCAGGGCAGACGGGTCAATACAAAAGATAAAGCGTCATTATTAGGAGGCCAGGGGAAGCATTAGGAAAGGAGGAGGTTAGAGCCTCTCTCACTTTGTAGAGTGTAGGTCGTTTATGTCTTCACTCAGTGTGTAGTCCCAAGTGCAGACTCTGGAGGCCAGGCTAATTCACACATCAGCTGGGTGACCTGGGTAAGAAGCCATCATCTGGCCATGCTTAGTTTCCTGTCTGCTGAGTATGGACAGCCACAATGCCTCTCGGAATTGTCATAGGGATAAAATAAGTCCCATGGGTAAAGTTCTTAAAACAGTATCTGATATATAGTAGAAGATACTAAATATCCCCAAAATATCTATTCCCAGGCAGAGTTCTGGGTAGTGGACATATGATGGTGATTACAACTTGACACTTGATAGAGCCTACTTGCTAGGGAAAGTTGACAAAACACGGAGGCAAGTTCTGAGTTAGTGTGACCCTGGGTCCTGGTTTGCTTTCTGTTGTTGTGATAAACACCATGATCAAAAGCAACTTCAAGAAGGAAAAACTTTGTTTGACTTACACTTCCCCTCACAGCCCATCCGTGAGTGAAGTCAGGGCAGGAACTCATTCAGGAGCAGAGACAGTAACTCTAGAGGGGTGCCTCTGCTTTACTGGCTTGCTAGCCTTCGCTCAGCTCACCTGTCTTATATAGCTCAGGCCTGCCTGTCCAAGGATGGTACCCATGGTGCTGTACCCTCCTCCATCAACTAGCAATTAGGAAATTTAGAAAAATACCCCACAGGCCAATCTGATGGAGGCAGTTTTTCAGTTGAGGTTCCCTCTTCCCAGGCAACAATCACGATTAGCCATGGCACAGACATCATGGAAATACTAAACATAAGAGAGAGAGGATGGGTGAGGGCCTGGTGCTGTCTGTGAGAACAGCCAGAGAAGAAGGCCTCTTCACTAAGAAAACATCTGAACCGAGATTTAAGGAAAAGTCAGCATCAAGTTTTGGAAATTCTCTCTGGAAAAAAGATCTGTGCCACTTAGTTAGGAAAGTAAGTTTTATGTCTAGAACAATAGGTTGCTTTTTTTTCCAGTAGAACATTGTTCTAGGTTGGGTTGGAGAGAGACATTAACAGTGAAGCATGTGTACCACTCTTGCAGAGGACCCATGTTCAATTCCCAGCACCTATATCAGGTGGTTTACAACTGCCTGTACCAGGTCCAGGGGAACCTACAGTGCTTCTGGCCTCTGAAGTCACCTGCACTCATATGCACTAATATGCATTAAGAATACAGCTTAAGGCCCATGGTATTCTAGTCTATGGCTCACGTATCTATTTGAACGTGCACCCACACACTGTGTGTGTGTGTGTGTGTGTGTGTGTGTGTGTGTGTGTGTGTGTGTGTGTGTGTGTGTGTATCTGTGTGTCTGTGTGTTTGTGTGTCTGTGTGTGAGTGTTCTTACGCACACATTAGAGTCAGGCAGAGGGGTGGGGAGTCGGAAGTAAGTAAACTTTACTCCAGCAGACACAGCCCCACCCTCTTCCTGGATGACCATGTGCCCTCCCTGTTTGGGGGGGTGGGGTGTTACAGGAAGCACAGAGGGAAGTGAACACCATAAGTCACCCAAAGCAGCGCCTGCCCTCCCACCCCAGGGACTCATATGGACACTCATTCTTAAAGATGTATGCAGTGGTCTGGGAGGGGAAATGCCAGCAGCACCTCAAATACAGTTTGAAAACAGCCTGGTGGCAGCCCCTTGTCATGGCCTTCTGCTATTGTGACTTATTCTTAGTCATGCCTGCAGGTTAAGGGGCATATCTGAGATTCTCTTTCTGGAACACTGCTGATTCCAAGCTGCCACCCATGCATTCCAAACACACTCCTGTTCCAAAACATTGTGCCATCCCAACTCTGCCCCCTTAAGTAGCAAAGGAGAACTTCTCTTTGATCATTCCTGTTTGTTGAAGAACATCCTTCTGGGTCTCTTGCTTTTACAGAAAAGACTTCAAAGGAAACACACCTGGGGAAAGATTTACACCAGCAAACATCCTGCTGCCTTTCTTTCTTTTTTTTTTTTCTGGTGCCTTGTTTACATGCCTGCATGTCCCCCCTCTCTTTAAATCCGCTACTTACCACGAATGCTCTGTAGTCCCCTGGTGTCTTTGTCAATATCCTGGGAGCCACAGAGGTAACATGTGCTCTCCGATACCTGTGATGAGCTTGTATGAACACCATCTATTCCAGCCTATTCTGTGAATCGATGGACATCGTTCACACCAGCTACTAAACTAATTACAGATGGAGGTTTGTGCATGCCTCAAGAGGGCTCCAGTGGAATCTGTAGCCAAACAGTCCTGTTCATAGCACACAAAGAAAGAAAATACAAAGAAGTAGAAATAAAAAAAACCTTGACAAGAATTCACAGTGAGTCTGGAATTGATTCTTTTATCTATAGAGTAAGTGGGAGCTTGGTGTGCCTTAGTTTTATAGTGATGTAAAATGAGAAATATTAGTGTGATTTCCATTGTTTGGTACCCAGATAGACTGCACATTACTGAAGGAGTGTAGCCTCAAGCCTCTTACACAGTGATGGCAGTGTGCAATAATGCCATGTTAGGACACATTCTGTAGCTCATATCTGTGTTCTGTCTTATTAGTGACATGATGAAGCATAAAATATTTATGTATAGCTTATTACCTTTCTTTTCACAAGAGAGTGTCATGGCATCTACAAGATAATCAAAGATGAAGTATGTTGTGTTGATACTATTTTTAGAATTAGTATATGCATGTCCATGATCCAACAATCTTCAGCACCATCTACACACTTCTTATTCTCCAGGCATTCCTTTAGCCCTTGGCTTCTGCCAAAATTATCCTAAAATGATTCATTTCAAAATATCATAATTCCTACACTATCATTCTGAAGTCTACACATGTACACACATACATAGACACAGATACACACATGTACATATACTTATGCTCACACACACATTTACACATATACACACACACCCCT